GTGTTTTTGTTAGACAGAGAGCCGCAGACACTGCACAAGTGTAGTATATCTGGGCGTTCAGCTTCAGTGTCTACGAGCGGGGGTTTCTGGTGGTTATGCTGAGGTTTTCTGGTTGATAGTATTCGGTGGCTGCATGAATTCGCGCCAGAAAACGCCAGGAGAGATCGGGGCCTTCTGCGTAATGATATTACTGCAAGAAGTGGCGGTGGTTGTAGAAACTGTTAATACATAATTAAGCCGCTGCTCCTGGTGTATGTACACTCGAACTGGGGATAGAGTGGGTATATCTGTTGACCCCATCCATAACACAAATGCTGTCGGTGTCTCTAACTAGGCGTAAACACAGAATAAACTCTGGCGCGGTATCCCCCCATATCCATCCAGGAATTGAAATTCTCTCGAACTCTTGTTTTCACTGTCTTCTTCTTTTTCTTTTGGTTCCTTCGCAAAGATATGAAGACATCGCCGAGAAGAGAGAGGGCAGTGTGGGGCACTCTTACTAGAAGGGGATGAGCATCCCGCCAGCTGTTGTATTGAGTTCAGTGTATCCAGCTAAAAATATAAGAGGGGTTTAGTCTTCGTCTGGTAGCAGCAGAGACTGCAGTCCACGCCGGAGGCAGCAGCAGAGCTCGTCAGACACCCCACTTGTGTGAGCATCTAGACAGCAAGAAGAACGATATTTAGGAAGGAAACGGGAATCATTGCACACGAAAAAAGTTTAAAAACTCAGAGAGTCAGGGGAGTGCATCGACGGTCATGTTGGTGATGCCCCTGATATACGTGAGTATGAGCCACAAAAACAAAGAAGAAACTCCTTCATTCTCAGTTTCTTGAAAATTCTTTGTTGGGTGTCTAGGGATGCATGATAGGTTTGAACAGTGAGACATAAGTACTCTGAATATTTTATTTTGTACTGCAGTGCTTAGAACTCTTTCTCCCTCTGAGCTGCACCGCGACGCGCCTGTGTTGCTGGAGATTACTTGGTCACTGCATGAGCAGCCAGCTTGCTGGGGTAGCAGCGCTCTAGCTGCTGCTGTGCGGCTAGCAACGGGTGTTAGGAAATCAGGGAGGGGGGGTGCAAGCACTGGAGAGGCCGCCAAGGGTTTGACGACTCTTGTTGTTGTATTTTAT